CAGGATATAGAGAAATAAGAAACGGGTCCAGGAGAGAGCTATGTCCTAGCTTACACTGGCTAAAGGTTGTTACTAGTTTTAAAGGGTCAGAAAATCTCGGATCAGGTTTTATTACTTAAGAATAGCTAATAAAATAAACAATCATCACGGAACATAACTCAATCTCAATAAATCTTATTGTCAATTTCATAAGGCATTCGGTGAAAGGCCCCCTTCAGGTACTGACAATTAGAACCAGGTTCTGATGCTTGGAGTGGAAAAAAATAATTGCGTTAAAAAATGTAGTCGTGGGTCTGGTGTTGTGGCTCAGTGGCAGAGTGCTTGCCTTGCACATGTGAGGCACTGGGTTCAATCCTTAGCACCACATGGAAATAATAAATAAAGATATTGTGTCCATCTACAACTAAAAAAATATTTTTAAAAAAATGTAGTCATCTGATTCATAGTTGGGTAGGGATGGGGAGCATGGGAGGAATAGATGAATTCTAGATAGGGCAGAGAGGTGGGAGGGGAAGGGAAGAGGTATAGGGTTAGAAATGATGGAGGAATGTGATTGTCATTATCATCCAAAGTACGTGTATGAAGACACGAATTGGTGTGAATATACTTTGTATACAACCAGAGATATGAAAAATTGTGCTCTATTTGTGCAATAAGAATTGTAATGCATTCTGCTGTCATATATAAATAAAAAATAATAAAAAAATAATTAAAAAATGTAGTCAAGTTGGATATGATACATGGGGCAGATGCGTTCATCTGTACTAGTGACACTGTTTCATTTTGGACTTTGAGAAGTCATATTTGCATCCCTATTTTCATTTTATCCTGCTTTTATTCGTAAAAGGCTAATAGGACAGATAGTAGGGGTAACTAGTAGATGTTACCTTTGTCATTGAGGAACTCAGGCTAGAACCCACCTTCATGAGCTAAAATAAGAATCCAGTTCCCCAAATGCAGGGGCCACGGTCTGCACTCTACTAACTTTTGGTTTAACCAGTTCCTAATGAAGATCTTGTACCTGGACATGTCTTTGGCCATACCTCTGTCTTCTCACCCAGGAGAGTGGCTTGTGGGCTGAATGGTTACTGCTGTCAGGAAGGATCCCGTAGCGGGCTGTGGCAATAACAGATGCAAATGAAGATGGAGGTGAGGGAGAGAAAAATTCAGAAAAATTCACCCGCACATACATGACCTTTGCTTAACAAGCGATCTCAACTTGTGGGACTTGGACCAGGGGGCAGATTTTGAGATGGTGTCTGAATAGCACTTGCAGCAGCTGTGGCTTGGCCCGTGTGCTCACACAGACAGATCCAAAGAATCTAGGAACATGATGGCAGTGGCAAAGGCCCTGGTAATGAGGACAGTCATCACATTCTTTGACTTTCCTCGAACGGCTAGCATGACCGGACCGAGAGATGCCTTGCAGTCTGGGTCATTTGGTCAGTGCTGGGAGGTCAGGCCATCTGAGAGTCAGCACTAAGCTGTCGATGAGGCCTCTTCCAGCAGCTCTGGCCAGTATCATGAGTCGAGGAGGCTTTTCAGATCCTGTGACTTCCAGGTGGCTTGGGATGGTTGAAGTTTGGACTGTGTGGAGCCAGGTGGGGAATTCTTACCTGAGGCTTTGGTTCACAGTTCAGATTGCTGTGCCATTCTGACATGAAAGTCTCTTTAATTGTATGTCTGACACTCTGTCCAGCACCTGGGGACAGTTGTGCACAGATGCTGGGATTTTGGGTGGCTTGTTTCTTTATTATCATCAAGCTCTGCTGTTTCTCCTTCATAATTGCCCATTTATTCTCCTCTTTTTTTTTTCCCCATGTGAAATTCAGAAGATGAAGTTATGCCACTTTTAGATTTAGTACCTTTGAAATAAATCTGCTTAAATACCAATAAATGAAGTAGTAGTAGTAGTAGTAGTAGTAGTAGTAGTAGTGTGTGTGTGTCTGAAGTGGATTTTGCCCATTAGCTGAGGGTGGTGGTTGTTTTATGAAAGACTGATTCTGTTATTCTTCTGAATCCTGGGGGCCTTGTTTGAGAGCCGTGGGACCTTCCTGTGTCCATTCTTTGTTTAGAGATGTGACTTAGTAATGTGAACTCAAGAGAACACAATTATAAGGCCTTCTCCCTGGGTTCCAGAGTGGGCTTGGGAAGGCTGTTCCCTCATTGTCTTGTTATCATACATATCAAGGAATGGCCTTCTTTCTGAAACCAGATTTCTTGGGAAATCTGGAAGACATTGATTTATAAAATGATGCCCTTCTCGAAGCAACAACGCTGATCGATTTTCTTGACATCTTATGCATGACAAAGAACAGGTTGGACTAATGAAAACATGTCTAGCTGGGGGTCACAAGGTTCCTCATGGGAAGAAACAATATGGTATAATAGAGTATGGGCTTTGGGGCTTTGGACTCACACATATCAAGGAGCAAATCTCAGCTCTCCAACTCTGTGACTAGGCAAGCTTTGGTTTTATTAGCTATTTAATGAGGCTAACAACTACCTCATAGGATGGTTGTGGGGGTTACATGAGGTCATATAGATGCTAATACTTCCTAGGTACCTACCTTTGGTATCCTTAGTCCAGATCTGTCTTCTGAACTTCAGACCCATATTGTCACCTGATGGCTACCCACCCTTCCCACCTGGTGTGTCCCATTCTGCATTCATCTTATCTCTCCCTTACTTTTCAAACTGAACCTTTCCTCCTACACTTACAAGCTGGTACCAAACATTTGTTGAGTGACTGCATGTGTAGAGTAGATGATGTATGTTAATATGCAAATCTCAGAAGTGTGAGATTTGAGGTCCACAAAACAATAAATCGTTGAATTCATTATTTTTTTTTTTAGTGGCATGCATCACTTAATAATAGGGATATGTTCTGAGAATGCCTCATTAGGTGATTTTGTCACGTGAACATGACAGAGTGTATCTACACAAATTAAGATAACTATGTCACTGGGCAATGTGGTATACATGGTCCATCTCTGGCCTAAACAGCATTGTGTGGTGCTTGACTATACTTAATATTCTGTAATGCCAAGTTTATTTAAAAGGGGCATACATGCTAGGGACAAGAGGGGGAAGGGAGCTATTATTTAAGGGGTATAGAGTTTTGGATTTGCAAGTTGAAAGTGTTCTGGAAATCTTTTCCACAACAATGTGAATATACTCACTGCTAAACTGTACACTTAAAATTGGTTGAGATGGTAAATTTTATATTATTATTTTTTCTTTTTACCTCAGTAAAAAAGTGGAGGGGCAAAAAAGGGTGCATAAATATTTCCTTGTAGCATCTTCTCCCCCCTACCCTTTTATTTTCGTGCTGGGGATTGAACCCATGGCCTTGCACATGTTAGGCAAGTGCTCTGCCATTGAGCCACATCTCTGTCCTCAAATATTTTCTTCTAAATTGGCCCTTCTTCTTTTGTTATTGGACCTGGTGATTGAATCTAGGGCCTCGTACTTGCTAGCCAAGAGCCCTATCACTGAGCTCCACCCCAGCCCTTTTTTGATTTTTGAGATAGGATCTTACTAAGTTGCCTGGGCTGGCTTCTAACTTGGGATCCTCCTGCCTCAGCTGTGACTACAGGCCTGGAATGGGCTTTTCCTTTCTATTGATGGTACCACCATTGAATTAGGTGCCCCAGTAGGAAATTCTAGAATCTTCTTTGACCCTTTCCAGTCCATTACCTGTGATAAAGAGCAGTCACCAAGCTTTGGCTTACAAATCCTCTTATATCTGTCTCTTCCTCTCCATTTCTATTCAAATAAGAGTGTCTTCATATCATGCTAGAATTATAGGAAAAAACTCAGGGTTCTGATCTCTAATCTCTGTTTTCCCAAGATTGACTCCTTCCATGATGTGGTCGAGGCAGTGCATGGGGAACCAACCGCCTTAGCTCTTTCTTGATGAGTCACCTACACCTTCTCCAGACCCAGATCTTCCCAGTTTTGCCCAGTCAGTTGCAGAACCCATTTTTGCCACCCCTGTGCCCTCTGCCCTCTGCCAGGACATCCTGCAGTTGGGCTCCTCTCTTTACTGGTCGTCTTGCCCTTTCTTGTTTTTGTGTGACTTTCTGCTCTGCCTCTTCCTGCCCGGAATACCTTTCCATATTGCTCTTTCTATCCTCCTCTCTACTTTAATTCCTCCCCCAATTCCTCTGGAGAGCCTTTCCTCAAGATTCTAGCCTATCGTGAATTCTCTCACTCTGGGGTTCTTTGTATCCTTTGCAACTCCCATTATATAACTTTGCTGTGACTCTGCTTACTTCTGTACTGCAGTCTGCTTATACGGCCCTGAGCCTCCTGTCACCAGCTGGTGTCCATTTTACATGTAAATGATACCAAGACACTGCTGGGGCTGTGAAGTGTGCTGCACAGAAAAATCCAGTCGAGTACCTAAACCTCGCTGTGGTTGTAGTTTGGGGCTCGACAGACTTTTTCCATAAACAGCCAGATAGTAAATACCCTAGGCTTGCAGGCCATATGGTCTGTGTTGCAGCTCGTCACTTCGGTTGGTGGAGCGTCGGAGCATCCGCAGACACTGTCTAAATGCATTAATATGATTGTGTTCCAATAAAACTTTATTTACAAAAGTCAGTTTGGCAGAGTGCTGTTTCCCGATCCTTGGCTTAAAGTACAGTGCTAAGGAGACCCATATGTAGAAACTCTTTCAGTCTCTATTGGTAAGCTTAGTTGCAGTCCTAAAATTTCTAATCCTGGCCAGTAAGCTTACGTGCTTGTCACTGTTGGAGGACTTATGGAAACAGAGGGAGGGCCACCACTTATGGCCATACATGTGTCATATCATAAATCTCTGGAAACGGGCTCTTTCTAAGGCAGATGAGCAATGTCGTCAACCATGGGTAGGAAACACAACTTCCATTTATTTGAGTATCTGCTGTATGCCAGATATTTTGTACATTTTTGTATGTCACTTCATGGAAGACGATTATTCTTTGAGTATGAATGTTATCCTTTCCATTTTTCAGATGAAGAGCCTGAGGCACAAGGAGCAAAATAATTGACCCAAGGCAACAAATGGAACATGGTGGATCTTGGACGGCTTTCTGGCTCCAGGTTTGTGTGTTTTCTGCCCCACCATCATACAGGTGTTATTGGACCAACTCTGATGATGGTCTATGAAAAACTAAACAGAATATCATGTTCCTGGCAAGGTAGAATGCTGTGTCAAGTTGGCATTTATGGTCTTATGGTCTTAGTTGAATGTCTGTGATCAAGTTTATGAATTATCACAGTTCTTCTCTTACAATGATGACAGCCCACAAGAAAATAATGTGCTTACATTGTCAGATGTCATTAAATCTCAGACATCTTACTCTGGAAAGTACCACCTATAGATGTACCAATGTTTATACATATGTTTATATATAGTAGTAGTTGTAATGGAAATAATGGTCCTTTTGTGTGTGTGTGTGTGTGTGTGTGTGTGGTTCTGAGGGTTGAACTCAAGGGTACTTCACCAATGAGTGACATCCTTAAGCCTCTTCATTTGTTATTCTGAGACAGGGTCTCCCTAAGTTGCCCAGGCTGGCCTTGAACTTGCTATCCTCCTGCCTCAGCTTCCCAAGTCCCTGGGATTGCAGGTGTGCACGACAGCACCCACTCAAGTTGAAAGAAAATCCAAATTCAAGTTGAAATTATGTTTTCCTTATATTTCCTGATGTATAGTGTTTGTTCCTGCTGAGGCAAACCCATGTGAACTGTACTGGAGTTTTAGAAAATGGTCATTGTTTTTTTTTTTTTTTGCACTTACCACCACCCTCAGGGTAACGTCACATGGCTCAGGGAAGATCTTACAAGACAATACAGAAGGATTTAAAGTATACCCTTATGCCCAGGGTGTATTACTAAAGTTGGAGGGGAATGGAAAAACGGTAGCAAAACATCATCATTTCAGGATTTTAAAGCTTAAGTTTTCTGAGGCCAAATAACTATATTCACCATTTGATTCGTCTTGTTGCCAAACCAAGATTCAAGTTTAGATTCTTTCTTCCTTTCTGTTTTTCTTTTCTCTCTTCCTTCCTTCCCTTTTTTCTTTCCCTCCACCCATTCTGTCTGTGCATCTATCTGTCTGTCTATCATCTATCCATTTTTCTCTCTAACCTCCAGGTTTTGATGCTGCTCCCTGAACAGCACTCTGCTTTCACTCTGTCTGTGTCAAGGCTGAGTCTGTGTTGGATTCTTTTTCTCACTGATCTTCAACATACAGTCTCAAAAGAGTCATGGTTATCATTCTAGGTTAAAAAAAAATGGAAAGTATACCGACACCTTATCTTTTACAGTTCTACCTATTGTTCGCTTATCTCAGCAGTCCTGTTACAAAGACTGTTTATTCACTGGAGAGTCCAAAAGGTGCAGAACAGTGGAAAATGAATCCCATTGCACTTGGTGCCTTTTGGAGTCATTTCCCAAAACACAAGATTAAATAACTACCATCACGACCCCCACATGGATACAGCACACTTCAGCCACCAGCTGTAGAAGTTTGCAAGCTCAAAAGAGCACTGTCCTCCTGTGCCAAATGCATGCTAGTGCGTCGTACTTTTGAACCCGTTTAAATCAGAGACTTTGCTGGGAGATGTTTCAGTTTGGGACCAAAAGGCTTCAAAGGCTTGCAGCCCCGAACCCGAGGCTTTGAAGTGAGGTGGGGGGTGTGCTGAAGAGAGGAAACTCACCCCTCCATACAGCACTGTATTATTTCAGGCTTCTGATTTCCAGCGGCAGAGCAAACAAGGCCCCCCGGGGCTGTGATTTACCAGGTTATCTTTCCATGCAGAAAGGGCGAAATTTCCAACTAAGCCAGAGACGGAGCTAATTGGTCCAAAATGTTGGTTATACATTCAGGCATCTGTGAACCTCTCCTCATTTTGATTTAGTTACAGTCGCAGTGCCTTTCGATATTGCTTTTTGGTGTTGTGAAAATCGAAGCCTAAAGAAGCGTAATTGTTTAATTATATATTGTAATGGGAACCATCGAGTGGTTAGCTTCATGGCTACCCTCTGCCTTCTTTTTCCTTTCTGCCTTCTACAATAGAGAATTAGCTAATTTCCCAGCTGCCTTTGCAGCCTATGGCGACAATATAACTCAATTCTAGCCCATGAGGGTTAGCTCTGTTAGCTTTAGGGAAAACTTTTGCTTTCCCTGATAATGGGGATAGTTAATCTGGTGCCACATTTCCCTTTATTCTCTACCTGGTATGCAGATAAGACGACTGGTGCTTCTGCAGTCCTTTTGTGACCAGTGAAACTGTAAAGATGAAAAAAGTCAACATTCTAAGAATGCTGGTGGTGGTAGAAGAAGAAGAGAATCCAGGTTCTTGATGGTTTTCCTGAACAGCTGAACCAATGCTATTTGGGCTCCTTTGTTACATAAGAAAAATAAATCTCTCTTTCAACCACTGTTAGTTGGGTTTTATGTTACTTGCAGCTGAAATCATTCTTAACTGATATAGCTACAATAACCAGTCAAGGGTAAGACCAGGAAGATAATTTTTGCCTTTCATGTTAGCTTTCTGATCCTGATAAATCACTAGTCTTTTATGTAGTCAATCAATGAGCTTAGCTATAAAATAATGAATCAGGCTTCAAATTTTGTTAGCTCTGACTTTTGAGATCTGCAGGATACTTACTTGAATATTTAGTAACTGATCACACCATCAAAAGACACACAAACAGATGCACTTTGATGAAATAATTTTTCAAGAACTTCTTCAGGGTAGCTTGTTTAATAGAGTGTATCCTTCTCTCTTCTTGTACCAGGAACACCCTTACTATCTACAGGGAATGCACCTTCCACCTAACTTACAATACTCCATTACACACGTATCTATTGTTGAGTGTCAGTAATACATATAAACAAGAAATTCTGGGCAATGAAAGCCCATAAACTCCTGTATTCTACCCACAATGTTACTTCTTTTCTGAATCAGACACATGGTTCTGAGATACAACTCCTTTTCTGTCAAGCCTTCATGATTTCCAAAGAATCCGGAGGAAATGCCAAGTCTTGGAGGAAGCCTGGAATTCTCTCTCCATTTCCCCCAGTAGGACTATTTATTATCTCTTCACTTCTCAGCTTTCCTGGGCTTGGCAGCAGTTACCACTTGTCTCCTTTCCTCCAAGGAAAACAAGGCACCAAATACTTTTATTTTGGCAGAGGGGAAGAATAGTATGACTTTTACTTGGTGTTCTCCAAAGAGTAATTAAACATAATCAATACAGCAATCAATGGAGCAGGAATTAAACAAAAAAGTAGATTTCCAGTTTCTAACAATGCCTTTTTAAAAAATTTGTTCAAATTAGTTATGCATGACAGTAGAATGCATCTTGACACATTATATATAAATGGAGTGTAACTTTTCATTCTTTTGGTTGTACATGATGTAGAATTACATTGGTTATGTAATCATATATGCACATAGGGTAATAATTTCCATTCATTCTACTTTCCTTCCTACCCCCATGCCCCTTCCCAAAGGCTTCTTTTTGATATGTCTGTATTCTGAAGAACCACTGACCTTATTTAGAGATCGAATTATTCCTCTTAATAAGAATGAAATGCAAGTCTATAGAGCTTTGAACTGATGACTGGTTTGAATTCAATAAAAGCTTAAATAGAATCATCTTCTAATTTCCAGAATGTGCATCCCTTCAAGACTCAAGTTTCCACAGACTTTTCTCAGTTCTAGAACTTTCAATGGGATCAGGGATGTTCATGTCTGTCTAGATTGTGAATTCCTAGAGGGCACTAGAAGGATTTTTCTTTGTATTCTCTCACATTATCCAGTACAAGAATTCATATTGTACGATAACTGATAAGGACTTGTGAATTGAATTGAATTCTGTCTGCACTTGTAGCTTTGCAACATCTTGATCTTTGAGATGGGTGACCTCTGAGTCATGTACTTGGATGATTCCTAACTAGGCTTCTGAGTCTGTCTTGTGGATCAATTTGTTAGTATCACCAAGCTCTGATTACTTGGTGTTATATAATTAGGCTGCAATTAAACTAAAAATAAGCAGCATATTTAAACAACTCTAACAGAATTAAGGTGACTGGGTGATTCACATAAATGTCCCTGCTCCTCTTTCTTGTGGGATAAAATTAAGTGCATGATTAGCAAAGCTGAATCTTCCTAATATTGATTGGCCTCGCTTGAAACAAGCATACTTACTGGAAATTTGAATTGATATGGAAAATAATATCATGGCATTGTTTTTCTTTTCTAAAAGTGTGTGTAGATAATATGCCTTTAAAGTCTGACTCAATTTTGTAAAATTCAGTTGTAATCTCTGAAGAAGAAAACAATGAGAAACTTCTAAAAGTGGCTTCTTCTCAGGAGGAGAATTGGGAGCTGAGGAATGAAGGGTGGCAGGAAGGCTTATTTCTCATTGAAAATCTCTTTGTGTACATATATTACCTATTCTAAGACAAACTCATAAACAAGCAAATACAACACAATTTTGTAGAAGGTTAAAACTGGAGGAATTACACATCTGATTCTTTGATTTACTATTAAGATGAAGTGTTTAAGATAGTGTAGCATTGTTATAAGAAGACATATATAGATCAATGGAATGAAAATGGAATCCCAAAATGGACCTGCCTATATGTGGCCAAATAATTTTGGATGAAGATGCCAAGTTAGTTCAGGTGCTAGTTATTATAGGGAAAAGGATGAATTCTGACACTTACCTAACATGATACACAAAGAATTAAGTAAAAAAGAATCATGGAAATAAATGTAAAAGCTGAAATGATAAAGCGTCTGGAGAAAAAAATGGGATAGGATCATTGTGACCTTGAGCAGGCAAAGATTCCTTAGATAGTACACAAAATACAAAGCCATAAGATAAAAATTTGATAAAATGAACTTTATCAAAATGAAAACTTCTGTTTAAAAAAATTACCATATGGAAAGCAAGCCACAGAGTGGGAGAAAATATATGCCAAATATCTATACTCTACCCAAATATAGTTGAGGAGATGCTTTATTAAGTAGTTATACCAATGGCCAGCAGGTACCTGGAACTATGCTCATTAATAGTCATCAGAG